TGTTTGTGTATTTTACTTTTGATATTTGATTTATTTTTCTTTCTTTGATTTTAGGTTCAAATGGAGCCGAGGGAAATTTAAAGGAAAGATGCGTCCGGCTAAAGACGTTAAATCAAGCGCTTCTTGGGAGGCAACCCAAGCATTCAACGAAGGGAGACTTTGGAATCACTAACCCAATCAGCTTTGCATTCTTCCACCCTTATCTTTACTGCTTTCATTTTGTTTTGTTTAGTTAGTTGTGTTATTTGGTTGATTTCTGTGAGTTTGTGTTATTTAGTTTAAGTGTGGGGGAAGGTTAACCAAAGTCTCTTTACATTAATTTACTTATATAAAAAAAAAAAAAAAAAAAAAAAAAAAAAATAAAAATTTAAAATTAATGAAAAAAAAAAAAAAAATACAAATATTTTACAATGATGTAAACTAATAGTATTCATTGGTCGGGTGGTGCTTCAGTAGTAGGCGGGGCTTCAGCAGTCGGCGGGGCCACAGAAGGAGGAGGCAGCAGAGGTTGATCAATTGGAGCTTCACTACGCGGTGCCGCTCCAGAAGATGAAGGCAGATGTGGTTGGAACAGACCCACAAACTTCCGATGATCCAGTAAAATTTGACCATCGGTGTCCTGCATCTGGTCAATCTTCCTCTTCATGCTGGTGGCATAGCTGTGTGCGAGCTTGTGCAATTCTTTATTCTCATGCTTGAGCCCTTTAATCTCTTGTTTGAGACTCTGTATTTCAGCCACCAACGACTCAACATGACGGGTTCGAGCAAATAGGCGTTGGGCCATGTTGGACACAGAACTCGCACACTGCACGCTAAGAGCCAGAGACTCCTTAACCGCCAATTCATCAGACCGTCTAGCGAGCAGTCTGTTATCTCTTGGGGTGACAAGATTCCGGGCCACCACCGCAGCTGTCATATCATTTTTCATCACCGAATCCCCCACGGTAAGGGGACCGGTAGGGGATATGAAGGATGGCCGCCATATGTTGTCTGGTGAAGGCGGAGCTGCCTCTTCACCAATGTTCAAGTCAAAACGACGATCAGAAGGGCCAGACATTTTTCAGAGGTGGTGAAGAAAGAAGAGAGTCGGAATGATCAAGATTAAACAAGTGCAAGAAGGGAGTGTTTACAAGAGGGGAGCTCAAGTGTGTTGTGGAACACAATTAGCGCCTCTATAAAAAGAAGAAATCGGAGAGGCGCTCCTCAGAGAAGCGTCCTCTCGCAAATCGAAGAGTCGGAGTTTCCTTTCTCAAAAGCCGGATTCTTTTCTCAAAAGAGGCGTTTCATTTCTTAAAGGCTGGGCTTGCTCAGAAACCACGAGCCAAACCCCGGATTTCAAAAGATCAATTTGTCCAGACATGTCGTCACTTGTCACACGTAAATTGCTTTGCGGAAATCTCGGGCAGTTTGTCGAAGCACCAATTCAGAAATCGAAGAGGGAAATTCAACAGTCAAAGACACGCTAGCTTTCTCAAAAGCTGGGCTTCAACCCACGGGCAAATCTTCTTTTCCAGATTTATCCGCACGTGTCACATGCTACCTCTACAATCGACGATGCTCAAAGCTCGAAGCGCCGATTCCAGATATCAATGAGGAATCTGCTTTGCGGAAATTACGGGCAGCTTTGTCAGAAAGCGCGTAATTTGTACTATTCATCCATCCACCGGCTGCCGACAATGAGTGAGGGAATAGTTCCGGTTGTGAAGAAAAGCCCTATAATTATCTACCTTCGCCTTCCACAGCAAAGACACACCATCTCAACACTTCTTCATCTCCGATAATGCATTCCCAAAGAACCCTCTCGAGTCACTCTGTATTCCTCATTCCCTGGGATACCCTTGCTAACAACCCATCCAGAGCAAAAGTATTTCATATCATAAAGGTTGAAAGCAAGAGTATCTCATATCATGCATTCTCCATGTCCTTTTCCTTGTCTTTGTTCTAACCTGCAGGACATGGAGAAATTGCTCTCGAGTACTCGTCTTCCACTGCTGATGTACTTCCAAAGAAGCTGCCACATCTACCTGAAGAACAGATAAGGCAAGCGAAAATGACACCAGCAGCATGTGGAGACAACGTACAGAACAAACAAGCAGAGAAGAATGCAGCTTGCACAATCATCCCAGCGGAAGGAGTCCGAGCTGAGCAACTAGAGAAGCTGCCACATCTGCTTGGAGAACAAATAAGGAACTGCAACATTCCCAAAGAGCAAAGCCTTGCAGTACAATAGCATAAAATCATCACTTGCAAGTGAAAAGCTAAGTGTCACCCTGTTCAAGAGGAAAGCTGTGGAAAGTCAACAAGCACGACCAATGATTACTTATTAGTTTTATTCATTATCTTTTATCGTAATTTTCAATTTTTCGTTTGCAATTTTTTTTTTAATTAATTTTCTTGCGTTACTTAACTGAATTATTTCTTTTCTTTGCAGGAACTTTTGGTTCTTTCCACCCTTGAAGTTGATTGCAGAATTTTAGCTTGGGGGTCATCGCTTGATTTTACTGCAAATTAGGGAAGTTTTCAGTCCACTTGTTTTATTTTGTTTCTTATTATTTATTTTATTTTATTTTTTATTTGCATTATAGTGTTTTCTGACATTGGGGACAATGTCAAGTTTAAGTGTGGGGGTAGAAATCTCTAGAATTTCATTTGTTTCTGTGTTGTTAGTTTTTGTTTTCTTAAAAAAAAAAAAAAAAAAAAAATCGGAAAATTTAAAAGATCCAAAAATATTGTCTTGTTTCCCTTATTGTTTTGAATTAGATTTTTGTTAGTTTCCCGACCCAATGATATAATTGGATCAAATTTGAACCATGATCATCAAGAACTTAGTTAACATGTGTTTTGTGAAATTCCTAATTCTCTTGTTAGTTTTGTACATGTTTGACCATCTTTGAAAAACCAAATGCACATAGCCTTGTTAATGTGAAATTAAAGTATGATTTAAAGCCTCATATGTGAATTTAGTGACCATATATATCCTATGTGAGTTTTTGAGCCTATTGAAAGTGTGTGTATTTTTCATACACTCCTATTCTTTCATGTGTGATGAACTTATGTGAGATACATCTCTAGAACTTGCGTAACGATCTTTCGAAATGTTTGTCATTGATTGCATGAACTTGGAAATGATAGAGGCATTAGGTTTACCACCATGGCCCAAATAACCATGTTTCCCAAATAAAAAGGATATCATTAGATTGCCAATTTGAGCTGTGTATGTTGAGCCTTTTATTTCTTATCACCAGATATGTCTACCCTTATGCCTGAAACTTTTTTCCTTACCCTTTCCAAGCAAGCTAGTGAGCAATGTGAGATTGTTTTATGAGAAATGTTTGTGAAGTACTTTGAAGGTGTTTGGCAAAAGAATAAGTGTGGGGGTATTTCATGTTTGTATTAAAAAAAAAAAAAAAAAAAAAAAAGAAAGAAAGATTGTATACAAAGAAAATGAAAAGTTGTTTAATTTTCAGTTTAAGGGTGTGGTTGGAGGTTTAAGAAGAATCGTTGGAGAGCTTGAGTTCTTATAAATCTAAAGAAAAGAATTACTTGCAATGTAGCTTGGAACTTGTGTTTTCCTATTCTTTCGTTTCAATAACCATATCCATAAGCCTCATTACATCCAATAAAAGTCCTCTTAATTTAAGTTTTGCAATTATGACTGTGGAGAAGTGATCTTTATGCAAGCTTATGGTAGAACTTTCACATTTGATTCTTTGAGCGAAACACATTAAAACTAAACACATGTGTGATTGAGTGCATATCCCGTGAGAAGGTCGCTAGTTTGCATATGATGATTTTAAAAATAAGAACTTGAAATTACATTAGCATGGCTATCTCACACACTACACCTCAAGGATGATTCAAAGATTACTGCTAATATTTGAATAAGGAAGATGAACTCGGATTAGTTCCTTGATGCTAGCTATGGTTCTTGATGATTTGTTTTCTTAAATGAATTTCTATGAGGGTCACATAGGGGGAAGCTAATGTTTTTCATGTTATTACTTTTTCATGTTTTCTTTGTTTTGCTCGAGGACTAGCAAAAGTTAAGTGTGGGGGTATTTGATCGGATCATATTTATATATATTTTTACTTCGAATTCACTCATCTTTTCTTAGTTAGTTCTTTATATTTTAAGCTATTTACGTTATTTTTTGTGTTTATAGAATTTGTTATGCAAAGAAAATAAAAATAGAACAAGTGAAATTTTATGTAATAAATTCGTCAAAAGCAAATTTAAATTACAATATTGCTAACCCATTGTGACGCTAAATGATAAACCAATATTTAAACTATATATTTCATCCTTTTATATTTCTTTTCTTGTCTAATTTAGTTGGAAGCTTTAAGTATTTATGATACTTTTGATATATTGTGTTTGTAGGAGTAACATGATCGAAGTACTTATTTTTCTGCTATGTGGGGCTGCTAGAAACTAAATGAAAATAAAAGGAGACAGCTAAGGGGAATAAAAGCAAGCCGCGGTGGGATTGGCAGGTTGACCAGCTGAAAGAGAATAAAAACTAGGGGTGGGCAAACGGGTCCTGGACCCGCGGGTCGGGGCGGGTCTTTGCGGTTCGGGGCGGGTACGGGACGGGTCTAAGAATTACAAATACAAAACGGGGCGGGGCGGGCTGGTTCCAGATAAATAACGGGGCGGGCCGGTTCTAAAGATTGGAGAAAACGGGCCCCCGGCCCGAACCGTTGGTCTACTGTGATTACGGTATCTTTTATTATTAGAATTCGACCCTCACTGTCACTCACCCTTTTATTATCAGGATTCAGACCTAATTCGATCTCTCCGCTCGATCTCTCCGCCTCCCTCGATCTCTCCGCTCTCCCGATCTCTCTCGATCTCATCCCTCTCGATCTCCTCTCTCTCGATCTCTTCCCTCTCGATCTCCTTCTTCTCGATCTCTCTCTCTCACAGTCTTTCTTTCTCTCTCTCTCTCCCATCTCACCTACCCTAAACCTTCACAAGCCGCCGTAAACCAGGCATATACCCAGCTCACCCGCCGTAAACCATCTGCGCCAGCCACAAGCCGCCATCCACAAAGCATCACCAGCTGCGACTTTGTCTCTGATCTGTTTAAATTTTCAGATAACTATTTAAATTTTCAGGGTTCCAAATGCCGTTGTCTCTGATCTGTGTGTGAGTGGGTTGATGTTTTCTCTATTGTTTTCGGCAAAGATGATCTGGTTTCTCTATTTTTAGTATAATAAAGAGTTCTAGCTCCAATCTATGGTTATTGATATGTTTCTCTTAAAGCTTCCTCATTTTATTTTCCTTCTCGGATTCTCGATCGTTAAAAAGTTCACTGCTTTTTGGCGTTTTTGGAGCTCCGGTAGTCTGATAGATGACTCTCTGGATTCCATTTCCGACTTCGTTTGGTTCCGATTGTTTTGTAGTCGTCTTCTTTCCTGTTAATTTTAATTTTTTATATTTGGAGCTGAGTAGTGGTTTCGGATGAGTTATCGGATTAAAATTTTTCCGTAAGTGGTTTTAGAGCGATGGCGGGTTTGCGGGTTGTCGCATGCGTTTGTTGTTGGTTTGGAAGTTTTAGCTATTGATGGTGAGGTTTAGAAATTTCCAAACTTGTTGGACCTACTTTCTATTTTCTTCTCATACTTTTCTGCTCTTGGTTTTGTGATTTGTTTAAAAAAAAAAATAGAAAGATATTTGGCCCCAGCAGGTTTTGTATGACTTTTGACTCTGTTTGGCTGCTCAGAAAATATGTTTGTGTAACTTTGAATGCTGAGAAAATGTTGGTAATCAAGCGTTAACTGTGTGTATGGGTTGAGTATAAACGTTAGTAGAAAATATTTATAAACTGAACAAGAATGCAAATTTATGTAAGATGTTCATTATAGCTAGTCTAGAAGCTATTATATATTAAATAAGCTGCTTATGATGTTTCGCTTGATGAAAATTCTGCAGGATCATATTGTACCGGTTGTATCCTCGATTTTCTTACGCAGGCTGCTTCTTCCTGGGGTTCATCATAATATTGCTTTGCGCTCAACCTTGCTGGATTATAACAGGCACTGGAGTGATTCAGATTTCCATTCTCTAATCGCCGATATGTTGAAGAAGGAAATTCTTTCCCTGATTGAACATGAGGTTTGCGTTGGAGTTTTTATTGTTTCTCTCTCACACACTCATATGACACCGTGGAGGGGATAGGAATGACCTGGGGTTGCTAGCTAACAGATAACCAATGTATGTTGTCTATTGTTTTAGGGTGTTAGTGATAATTCAACGTCAATATTGTGCTGTTGGAAAAAATTCTGTTCTCCCTACTTCCAAAATTGGTGCAAGAGCAATGCACTATGTGGCTTGCTTTTGGATTCCTACAGGGGTAGTTTTGGATTGATCAGAAAGAACTCAGTATCTCTTTTTCGTTGTTCGGAGAATATTGAGCGGCTTATTAATGGTATCTCAGGTATTGTTGCTTTAGCTGAACCTTTCCATTTTTTTGTTTTAGGACCAATTATTTCTTATTTTTAATGCTTGTCCCTTTTATTTTGGAATTCTCACATTCATATTTGATAGGTACTTCTGATGATCTCATCCATCTTGTTACCATGGAGGCGGGTTTAATTCTTCAATTAGAGGTGCTCGTTAAAATGCTTAGATGTGTTGTTAATGTCAGCCAACAATTGGGAAACAACTTCTGCTATATTTTATGAATCATTAGTTAGTGCACCACTCGTTATCTCAGCTGAGGAAATTACTCATCGCCTTTTGAAGAATTTAGAATCTGGATATGGTTCAACGGTAGCAATGCTTCATGTATCAGAGCATGGACCTGATGTTGCAAAGAAAATAAAAATAGAACAAGTGAAATTTTATGTAATAAATTCGTCAAAAGCAAATTTAAATTACAATATTGCTAACCCATTGTGACGCTAAATGATAAACCAATATTTAAACTATATATTTCATCCTTTTATATTTCTTTTCTTGTCTAATTTAGTTGGAAGCTTTAAGTATTTATGATACTTTTGATATATTGTGTTTGTAGGAGTAACATGATCGAAGTACTTATTTTTCTGCTATGTGGGGCTGCTAGAAACTAAATGAAAATAAAAGGAGACAGCTAAGGGGAATAAAAGCAAGCCGCGGTGGGATTGGCAGGTTGACCAGCTGAAAGAGAATAAAAACAGCTGCTTGGCAGCTGGAGAGACAAAAAGAATAAAAAAAGAATCCAAGGAGACATCTACGAGCGTGAAAGGAGGATTGTGGAGAGCTGCTTGGGCAGCGGGATAAAATAAAAAAAGGCAGGAAGCTGCCTTAGCAGCTGAAAAAGAAAGAAAAAAATATAAAAAATAAAGGAAGTAGTGCGGAGGACAGCAGGGGGCTGTCTTTACAGCAGGGTGAGAACGGGGGGGAGATAAGAGGCGCGGAACAGAAAAATAATTGGGGGGGGGAAGGCAGAGGGCTGCCCTTTGGGCAGCGTGAAGCTGCGGAGAGAAAACGAGGGGAGAGAGAGATTGACGCGGGTAGACTGACGGAAAGGAAAATAGAATAGAGGGCAGGTTTGAAAAGAAGCTGGCCGTGAGAAAGGAGAACGGAGAGAACGCTGCCTTTGGCAGCGTGAGAGCAGCGTAAGACACGGGGAATTGGAAGGAGGGCAAGTCAGGGACTTGCTAGGCGCAGAAAATAGCACAGAAACCTTCACTCTTTCCTCTTTCGGTTAAATCTTTCCAAACTTCTATTTTATTTTTTGTTTTAATAATGTGTAATTAAATTATTTTTGGCTAGAGGTTAATTCAAAGCCATGAATATATTTGTAATATGAATTGATTACCTTCGGTTGTGATTTCATAAGTTGTGATTTCAATTTACTTATCCGTTCGTATAAAAACTGATTTGTGTATGTTGGTTGAGAGTGCACGCTTAATTTACATGCATGAATTTGATGCTAGAATATAAGTGAATTTCACCTAATCGTTATGAACTTATTTTCACAAGTAGTAAAGGTTGCTAGTCACAATCACGTTAAGTAAATTCTTGGCAAGAGTATCATGCTTTTCATAGTTACGAATGCCTCGTCAATGCTTATAGTTTTCACAAAGTTTAATGATCTTTGATTGTATCTCTATTGTGCTTTTCACGTAGGGGACTTTTGAAGAATGTTTTGAATTGTTGTATGCGTTTTCCCGTCCAATTCAATAACTTAAGGAAAACTTGAAGATTAAAAAAAGTGCTGTTCACGGTTAATCTGGAGTATTGAAATTCACAATTTATTGAAAGAACAACTGAAAATCAATTTAGGTTGCTTATGTGTCATGTGTGGAGAAGAACCCTCTAGCTAGTCCGTCATTTATCATTTTACCTTAATTTTATGTTTTTGTCAATTCTGTAATTTAATTAAGTTTAATTTACTTTTCATCAAAACCAAACACCCATCCATTATTAAATTATATTATTTAATTAGTTTTCATTATTGTTAGTCTTTTAATTCAATTTCCGTCCATTTCAGTTCTTAGTGTCTAATCAGATCATTTTCATTATTTTGAGTCATCCTAAGTGTGTTTCGAGTTATTAGAGTTTTTAGCCTAGTTTTGTATCATTGAGTCTTGTTTAATATTTTTAAATTAATTTAGAATAGATTAGCAATCCCTCCTAATCCCCGGCCTAGAACGATACCCTACTTACATACTTTACTACATTTGATAAAAAGAGGGTTTAATTTTGTGTGTTAACTTATTTTACGCATCACAAGGGCATTAGGCTAACACAGTTAGTCAGATGAGTATATCATAACCATTTTCAAACATTAAATTTTAACTCCAAATTACCTAAGTGTCAAGAAGTAACAATCAACAAACTTTAGATTTTAACTCAAAATTACCTAAGTGTAAAGAAGTAACAATCAATTTAACCACAAGGTGAAATTCAGTAATGCATGTTAGGATATTTTAATTTGAAATATGGTTATCGAAACTATTAGATGATATGGGGTGACTGATGTTGCATATAACTGATGTTGTATGACTGATGCTGCATACATATGGGGTGACTGAGGCTGCATATGACTGATGCTGCATATATATAGGGTGACTGATGCTGCATATGACTAATGTTGCATACTGACTAATTATTAGACGAAATGGGGTGACTGATGCTGCATAACTAATGATGCATATGATTAATGCTGCATACATATGGGGTGGCTAATGCTGTATATGACTGATGCTACATACTGATTGATTATTAGACGATATGGGTGATTGATGCTGCTAGATTTTATGTTTCCTTTTTCCATGAGATTCTCTATTAAGTCTAATCCCTTAATTTGAGGAAGATTGACATCTAGATGACTTGTTGATAGTTGTGTGCTAGCTACTTGTTGCACTCCCTTAATTTAAGGAGTGACAACTTTAGGGTTTATTGGGTTAGTAGGATTTGCCAAGGTAGGGTTGCTTGTAACCTTCTACCTCATTATATATACCCCCCCTTGTACATTCAATCAATCTATGAAAAATACATTCAAACAAACTTAAAATTTCTACAGAAACAGAGGTTATATTACCTTTGCCATATTCCTAATTCTAACCTAAATAAATAGGTGTTTGAGCAGATTTGAAAATTACAAGTAAAAAAGTGTGGTTGTATAGCCACGTAAGCTAAGATAAATAAAATCCTATCCTAACAAAATATAAATGTTATAGACAAACAACATGAGATCTTAATCACACTCAAAGAAACAAAATTCATTTAAAACAAATAGTTCAAACACTAATCGGTGGCCTACAAAATGACACTAATCAGATGAGTTCCATAAGAACGAATCAGATGAATAAAGCCACCAACTACAAGATAGGGAAAATTTCAATAAATAAAGGGAAAATACGAAGAAAAAAAAGTAACAAAGCCAAGATGCATAAATTTTAGCCATAAATACTGAATTTAAAGAACGAACACAAAAAATGTGTATGCATTTCACTTTGTAAGGATTAACCAGCCTACAACTAAAATGAAAATGAAGAAGCATATAACGTAAGAGTTAGAATGCAAGAGTTATAACTAGAAACACTGTGTTCGAAGAACACGACAAGATTCAATTTCACATTGGAAAATTATGCAGATGACAACCAAAATGAAAATGAAGCATAAAAGGTTAGAGGTTCTGACTATAAAAATTGAATTTGCAGAACACGACAAGAAGTCTTCATGTTGAAAGAATTGGTTTCTAACTTGGATTTATACTTGAAAAGGTTGTATAGAATACATACCAAAAAGAGTGTAGTATTGTAAACATGATCACATAACCAATCCCAATGACTCTTTGGTCTCCCATTCCATATCATATCATTTGGAAGCTTAGTTCGTCCTCTCGTAGGTGTTCCACATGACAAGTAGCATAGATGCAACCGGTGCCTAAACTGAGAGTACAACTTTGCCATCTTCTTGTCAACATATTCAATAATCTTTGGATGGGATAAGTCCATAACAAATAATACCTATTGTTAAACATAAATATATGCAAGTGAGTGCTTGAAATTACAATGAATAAATTGAATTAAATTCAAAACTCACAAGCAACTTCTTTTGCAGTTTCTTCTTTTCTGAAGCTGGGACCTTAAACCATCTCTCAAAACAAACCGGTGAATAAGTCCAAACAATATTCCCTATCTCGGATGTGAAAAAACCTGACACAACCGAATCACTTGGAACTTGATGTTTAAAATCAAAGATGATTGGCATCTTCAGCCCGTTATTGGCCTCCGAAATATCATGGACGCCTTTCCCACATGACTTTCCATGAGTCATCTTTTTGCAAAAAAATCAAAATTTGTCTCTAGAAAAATATACGTATCTCTAATCAATGTAATATGTTGTTTAAAACTATATTAATAAGGAAAAAGTAAATAATTGTAACTACCTTTCCTACTTGGGTTTGTGTTTGTTGGCAAAGGTGCAGGTGATGATGGAAGATGTGTTGGTGGAGGAGGTGGTGGATGAGGTGCAAGTGCATCATTTGGAGGAGGAGGTAAGGGATCCCTCACCCACTTCACCCTTTTTCCTCGAGGAGGTGGTAGTGGCGGAGGAGGTGGTGGTGGCGGTGCAAATGCATCATTTGGAGGAGGTAAGGGATCCCTTACCCGCTTCACCCTCTTTCCACGTTGTGTAGAAGTTGCCATCTAAACATGAAACATAAAAGTAAATAACATAACCAAAATATTAATATATACAAACACAAACCATTATAAGCATAGTGACTGTTTGTAAAATGACAGGCAAATATATGTACTATTGTAGGATAATAAACATTAATTTATAATGCATAAATCTCACCATAGTCATCAATCGTAATCATCATTAGTATCATTGGTTCCAACATTCTCCTCCTCATCATCCTCATCCTCTTCCTCGTCATTTTCTTCCTCCTCCTCATCCCTCTATAGCCCTAGCATTCTTCGAACCTCCTCTTTGTTAATGTCAAAAGATTCAGGATCAACATCATCTCTACATAATGATATATCAACTTCATCGTCATTATGGACCCGCCTTGTAGAATTTTTAGTTTCATCTACATACTCATCATCGTCTTCGTCAGTGACATCCTCATCCTCATCATCATCTTTCTCAGGAACATCCCAAATGTGTCTATGTTGTATCTTTTGCACAACTTTCCATGGATAACCCAATTTTAAGTCATCAATATAAAATACTTGATGTGCTTGTTTAGCTAACACATACGGATCACTATCGTACCAACGATTATTTACATTTAATGATGTAAGATGATAATCCCGTATAACTTTTTTACCTCTTGTATATGTAATGTACCAATGACATTTGA